AGGGAGAAGCTTAAGCTTCAAAGCTCCTCTTTTGCGTAGGCCCTTTTGTGAAACTGAGAGGGGCCCTGAAAATCTTATATTCTTTCTTTTATTAAAAGAGAACCTCCAGGACTCACAAAACTTGGATTTGATCCCCTTTAATAGTCATAATAGTCATAATTTCTTTGTTCTTGATTTTACTAAGTATTTTATCCCTAGTTTTGTAAGAACTATTATGAGGAACAGATGCTGAATTTTATAAACTCTTTTTGGCACCTATTGGGATAAATCAAGCATGTTTTCTCCACTGGCTTATTAATGTCAAGGATTGTACTGACAAGTTTAATAGTGTTAAACCATTTTTGCCATTTCTGTAATAAATTGAATTGGTTTTGAGGGGTGATTTTTAAAATATGCTAAACATGGTTGCTAATATTTATGATTTTCATACCTCTATACATAATGAAATTAATCTATTGTGTTATTTGTGCTTTGTTGCATTTTGACATGAGGATTATTCCAGCTTCATAAATGAACTGGATGAAAATTCCATCTTTTTTCCACCCTGGAACAAACTAAACATGCAAATTATTGTATGTTCCTGAACATAGGGCCCCCAATATAGAATAATCCTCCCATTTTCTCAATGAGACTTCAGAAAATATTTTTTAATTAATTTTAATATTTAAGCTTTTAGGATATAGATGGAATAGTCATTAATTTAGTTATAAATATATATTTTTAAATTATATATAAATACTTTCCAATTATTTTCATAAAGTAATTTCATTCAAATAGTTCACATAAATCTTTGATGATAGTATCTTCATATCACTATGGCAACTTTTTACTGTGGTTTTCCCTAGCACATCATTATCTCCAAATATGTTTAAGATATAACACATTTTGAATTCATATTGATGCAGCCCTAAAAAATTTATTCAAAGCCATTAGCATAACTTCAAGATAATTTCCATTTGTCCTTTAAGTGTATTATTTGTGATATCTATGACAAAACTATCTACTACATTGTGTGTGTTTTTAATTTGCTTATAATGGCATCCAACTTTTGCAATTATGAGATTATATATTTCCAGGAATAATCCTAGAATGGTTTTAAATTTTTAGCCTCCTTTTATACTTATTTAATCAATCTAGGCTATTTCAGGCTAGTGTATATCATATAGAATATAGTCATGTAAGATGAGTCTACACATCACCACCATCTATACTAGTTCAGGATACATTTTACAACATTACATGTATGGGTTAAAGAACAGGTTTACTGAGGGGAAACTTAAAAGCAAGAGTCTTAAATCAGGAGAGATTTAGTTATTTGTGTAAGGTATGGCCATACAAATATGTGTTTATTTTTTTTTTTTAAATATATTTTATTGATTTTTTACAGAGAGGAAGGGAGAGAGATAGAGAGTTAGAAACATCGATGGGAGAGAAACATCGATCAGCTGCCTCCTGCACATCTCCCACTGGGGATGTGCCCGCAACCCAGGTACATGCCCTTGACCGGAATCGAACCTGGGACCTTTCAGTCCACAGGCCGACGCTCTATCCACTGAGCCAAACCGGTTTCGGCCAAATATGTGTTTATAACACTAATTACTACTGGGCCATTAGTTATAGATGCATTTATGCTAAAAATTTAATTTTAATAGTCATTATTTTATCCCATTTGAAAATTTTAAAACTTCAGATGATGAAAAGACAAGATCCATTTGAATAGTTGGAAAAAATAGCTACACTTTATTATTTTCAGCACTAAAATGGTTTTCCCTTTTCTCCTTTTAACAGATCTCCCGAGTTCACAACTACCACAATTCAAAAAGCGACGTCTAGTGTATGAAAAAGTCCCTGGTAGAGCTGATGGACAAACTCGTCTGAGGTTTTTTTGAAAAAGAAAGAATAGTGCTACATGCCACATTCCATTGTTTTTGTTGATAGACCAATCACAGAATGATTTAGAGTTGGTCATACCTTAAAGAAAATGCAATTGTTCTTAGATGTTCTCGGTTTTCTATATTAAATGTTCATAATATACATTCTGCTCCATAGTTTGCATATTCAAATATTCTGGATAGACCCTTGTTAGGGAGCCAAAAATGTGAGTTCAGCCTCCAAGGTCCTTTCCCAAACACCTCATCACATGGAATTGATTGGAACAGCCCCAACTCCCCAGATTGGCTCTTGCAATAGAAATTTCGATTCTTTCTCTGAGAGTATTTCATTTTCCTGTGAGCTTTTCATGTTAGAGGGAGTTACTTGCATTTAGGTTCATTGCTGGCAATAGCGATGCTGACCTTTAAGGTCTTGTGAGAGGCCTTACTCCCAAGTTCCAAGGCCCAGTTCAAACTTAGTAGACCTCACCAGAATATCACCTGTCTCTCCAATTGTGATGGACATAAGATACCCCTCTTTCCACTGAAACATCATACCCCTGGGATCAACACTGGGGTGTCCCACCCCTTGCCTCTCATTGTAGGAGCCTGGATATTCTCCCCAGATATTGAACCCCACCCTAAAACAAGGGATCCAACAAATGGAGTAGCCTGAGTTGAAGGGGATGGGGAATGCAGATTGTAGCAATACAAAATGAAGGCTGAAAAAAATATGTTTTTCTGTCTTTTGCTTTTTTATTTGGTTTGTTATTATGTTTACCATACAACAGTTACTAATTTAACACTTAAGTGAAATGCCTTACTTATTTAATTTTTTTAAATTTAATTTGGTATAGGCAAGTGTAGATGTCTTTTCTCTTTTGATTTCTGGGTTTCCTGCCTTGCTTACGAAGACAGCTTTTACACTAAACCTGTATAATTAATATCTTAATTTTTCTTCTAATGCTTTTGTATTATCTTTCTTTAACCCATGTGGGTTTTTTTACATAGTGTAATACAGACCCAATTTTATTTTCTTCCAAATGGATAGCCAATAATGGCAGCACCATTTACTAATTAAACCATACTTTCCCACTGAATAGGAAAAAAAAGTCATTTATTTCTGAACAATTATAATCCATTCATCTACTTGCCTATTCCTATACCACAATAATAGTTTATTTTGTGTGTTTTTTTCATTTTTAAAATCATTTTATTTTGATTCAGCAGCTTAAAAGTAAAACTTTTTTTTTACTTTGTTAAAAATTTTTATTGGTTTTTGAGAGAGAGAGAGAGAGCTTTGTTGTTCCACTTATTCATACATTCATTGGTTGATACCTATATGTGCCTTGACTGGGTAGGGAACCCATAACCCTGGCTTATTGGGACGATGCTCTAACCAACTGAGCTACCCAGCCAGATTTCAAAAGAGAGGAAGGGAAGAGGGAGAGAGGTAGAAACATCAATGATGAGAGAGAATCATTGATTGGCTGCCTCCTTCACGCCCTCTACTGGGGATTGAGCCTTCATCCTAGGCATGTACCCTTGACTGGGAACTGAACCGTGACCTCCTGGTTCATAGGTTGATGCTCAACCCCTGAGCCACACTGGCTAGGCAAAGTAAATTTTAAGAACTAGTAAGGCAAGTTTCACCCTTCCTTGTTTTTAAATACACACACACACACACACACACACACACACACACACACACACGGTTTTAAAAACTATCTTGGACACTTGATTTTTCCATATGAACTTTTAGATATTTTAACCAGTTTTCCTCAAATAAAATAGGAATGCCACTAAGTTTATATGAAATTGAGATTTAATGATATTATTGAACTTTAATTTATGTAGACCCTGTTCTATAAACAGCAATAAAAGCTTTTCTTTATAACTTGCAACTTTTGTTAAATTCTCAAGTATTTTTTATCGTTTTGTCATTAAAGTGGAAATGAGATATAGTTTCCATTTCCATTTCTAAATAGCTATTGCCAGTGTAGAAAATGCTTATTTTTCTATATATACTTTCCTATGTCATTTGTCCACTTAGTTTTTATTCAGAACAACCACTGAATTTTATCAAATGACTTGTTGGCATAGATTCTCTTCTTTAAACCATTCATGGAATGAATTGCATTGATAGATTTCCTTATATTGAACTAGCTTTGTTACATTGTATCTCCTCTTGATATATTATTAGATTTGATTTGTTTATATTTAGGTCATTTGCATCTGTGTTTGTGAGATGTCTCTAGTTTTCTTGTACTATAGTGCCAAGATTTTGCTGAAGGAAAAAGTGGAATAGGAGAAGTTCTTGTGAGTTGTTTCTATTTTACACATTAAAACCTGTACATAATTAATGTTTACAACTTGATGAGTTTGGAGATAAGTGAAACCATCATCACAATCTATGCCATGAACCTAGTCACCATCTCCAAAAGGTTCCCCCTGCCCTCTTATTTATTATTTTTGTGATAAGAACAGTTAACATTAAATCTGCATTGTTAGCAAATTTTTAAGTATACAATAGAGTATTGTTAATTATAGGCACTAGGCTGTAAGCAGATCTCTAGGACTTACTCGTCTTGTAAACCAAAATTTGTTTGTTAATGGAGATTTTTTTAAAATGCTTGTTATCGTTAAGATGGAGAATGGAACATGTTTAAATGGTGATAGAAAAGATCCAATGGAGAAGCTGAAGAGAAAGGAGAGAAAGGATAATGGACAGTGTGACATTTCAGAGAAGGTGAATCAGATCCAGAGAATACATACAAGGGCTAGAAAGGGACACCTGAATTATGATCAAATGAAAGGAATTCAAATTGCTTAGATTTGGAAGTTTAGTGGCCAGAACTTAAGGGAGTACCCACCTAATGGCTTCTATTTTCTCTATTGTAACAATACTTACGCTCAAAAAATATTTTCATTTATTTACTTATGTTTTTACACATAGTTATTTCAAGAGCAAATGCCAGCAATTGAGATATTTCTGTATGTTATACGTATACTATTTATAAAATTCTACAAGTACTTATAAACAAAAATTTGTATCTCCCACTTCCAGCATTCAATCTCACAAGCAAACAGAAATCTGTGAAACCTTAAAACAAAATCAGACACCAAATGTTGCTGTCATAGAAAATAATGAGTTAAGCAGAAACTTTATTTCTAAGCTCTTCAAAAATTATTACAAACACAAATAAAGTCTCCATTTTAGTGTCTCAAATCAAAGGCACATCATCAAAGTAAAACACTTATGACATTAAGAATCCATTTAGCTTGTAAGATTTTCACATTGCTTTGCTTTTAATCATTTGCAGTGTTCTGTAAGTCACATTTTAAACATTTGAAAGCTATGAGATAATGTAGTGTTTTTTTACAGTATAACCACAACTATGAAGTAGAGGAACTTAAGAAGACAAAGATCAGATCTGTGGCATACACAAAATGGGGAGATCTAATACACAACACATTAATCTTTCCAAACAAGTTTGCTAAGAAACAGCTTCCATATTTAGTGTTAAAATAAAACAATCTTCTCACAAAAATCAAGACATCACTTGATTAATAAAGTCTGTTCTTTCCCCCACTTTTACACTGTCTTGCCTTCATTTTGAAATTATAAATTCATGAGAAAAGGACACATTTTGTTATGGTGTTAAAATCTTAGGAACAACAAATTACAAGTATTAAATTTTTTAATAAAAATGTTTTCCTTCCCAAAATGTAAACATCAGTAAATAAAACATACATAATATTTCAGGTCTAGAAACACCAATAATTCACTTATGAAAGAGGTGCATTTTTGTATATTTGGTGGTAGGGTTTTTGTCTTAAGTATAAAGCACTTCACCAAACAAACCAGGCCATTATTATTTAAAAGTCTCCTCCTTCACCCAGTTTCCTAATTTGAGTTGAAACTCATCAATTTCTGTAGAATTTTGGCTATAGGACCAGGCCGCAGGGAAGGTCTGAATATGTAAGTCGTTTCGTTAGAGAAAAATGTTTTCGTGACACTTGGAGGCAGTCATTCATCACTTTGTGCCTGAAGGCTTCCTTAGCGAACTTCTTTCCTAATGGAAAGAGAATTTGGTTCATTTTCACTTTAGTAAGATTTACACACGAAATTAACAGTCAGCATTTCATAGGACACTTTAGTATTCTCAAAGCAGAGAGTAGCAAGTTAATTTTAAAAACCCATTCAAACCACACCACTGAAGGAATAGCACCCATGAAAGTGCTCTGTAAAAAGAAAAATGCCAAGCCAGCATGTAACTACTACTTTGATACCATAAATGTGGGCATTTTTTATTAAAAGGTACAACAGTACCTGATAGTATGATTACTTCTTTTTAATATGCATAATTTCCTTTATATGTATGAAAACGGACCTAAGATGATTATTTACTGTATGAAAACCCATTCAAACACAAAATTTGAATATGTTGGCCCCAAAAGACTCTAATAATCTACTCACTGAACTCTTCCAAAAAAAGAAAAAAGGGAAAATGTGAATTAGACCCCACATAATGCATTAGAACCCATGACATTTCTAATATGCCACCAAAGAGAGATTTTCATTTCAATAATTGGCTTTTAAAGCTCTTTTAACCAGACTCACACTTTCCCCCAGTAGCTACATTAAAGCTTCCTCCATTAAAACACAGAGATACCCTGGCCAGTTTGGCTCAGTGGTTAAGCGTCAACCTATGAACCAGGAGGTCACTGTTCAATTCCCAGTCAGGGCACATGCCTGAGTTATGGGCTTGATCCCCAGTAGGGGGCGTGCAGGAGACAGCCAACCAATGATTCTCTCCTATCATTGATATTTCTCTCTCCTTCTCCCTTCCTCTCTGAAACCAATAAAAATATTAAATAAGTGAAACAGAGATGTATTCTGAAGCCTTTGAAAGACATCACAGCCAAAGCCGGTTTGGCTCAGTGGATAGAGCGTCGGCCTGCGGACTGAGGGGTCCCAGGTTCAATTCCGGTCAAGGGCATGTACCTGGGTTGCGGGCACATCCCCAGTGGGGGATGTGCAGGAGGCAGCTGACCGATGTTTCTCTCTCATCGATGTTTCTGGCTCTCTGTCTCTCTCCCTTCCTCTCTGTAAAAAATCAATAAAATAAATTTAAAAAAAAAAAAAAAAAGAAAGACATCACAGCTGGTAGTAGGAACAACTCTTCCTCTGGGGAGTCCTTTGTCCCAAGAGCAGCAAGTGGGTTGATAGCACCAAGCAGCAAATGACAACTCTGGGATGGTGTAAGGACAGAGAGTAGGATTAAGGTCAAGCAATGACCACCAGCTAACTCAGTCAAAGAGCTCAAGTACATGAAGATATTAACATCTTATGAGTTAGTGCCCAAGAGGATTGAGATTCTCTTAATTAGATGCAATGCACAGGCAGGGTAAATAGAGACTAGAGTCACCCTTCAGGGATAGTTGTGCATTTGGCTGCTCTTCTTTTTAATTCCCCCAAGAATAGTAGATATTCAAAACACAGTTGCCCAAATCCTCTGGGAAGCCCTGTGATAGTGGCATGGCCCCAAGCCGGCACGGTGGATCAAGACTCACCAGTCTTCAGAGTAAAGCACAGGACCTGGGCTCCCGGAAGGGGTTGCTGCCCGCTGGAACTCCGACCAGCAGGGCATCCTTGCAGGCATTCTGCATGCAGTACTGCTGAAGCTCGGCAGCCGCCTGGGAGACCTGAAACCAAAGGACTGCAGCTTGACACGCCGCCCACAGCCAGACCCACCGGGCAGCCCTTCGGCATTCTGAAAAACGCGCCTGCAGCCTGACCACACTTTCTGTGGCTGCCGGAAGTCTTCCTTTTGCTGAAAGTTCTAATAACTGAACTCCAAAGAGGAAAGGTTACAATTGCTATGAATTCTGATTTAGGATATTTTTGGTTGCTTATTCAACAAAAGAAAAAGCAGCGTCTTTGATGCATTTAGTATCCTAGTTCTGAGACTAAATTGGTAAAGAAATAGCTCATGCTAGTGTTCCCTTTACACATTTTCACTCATAAAGTATGCATGGATGTATCCCTGTTTGCCAAGTGAGCACACTGTTTAATGTACACAAGGCTGGAGTTTTATCCGGTGTGCTCAGAACAAGTTCTCCCGCCTCGCTCGGGGGCAGGACAGCTTGTTGGTGAACAGAGCAGCTCTGGAACCAGACTGCCTGGGCTCAGATTCAGCTGTGTCACTACCTGTACAGACATGGGCCGGGTTCTTAGCTTCTCAGTACTTGTTTTCTCATCGGTGAACTGTATTTAGTAACAGTACCCCCTTCATTGGATCGATGTGATGATTGAGTTAATGCAGGCAAAGCACTCAGAATAGTGCTGCCACACCATTAGCAATATATATGTGGCAGATTGCAGAAAAGTCACAATATTTTGCAACTCCTTCCACCAGAAGCTGGAGCCTGCTTACCCACTTCTCGAATCTGAGCTTGTTTGGTGACTTGCTTTGACCAGGAGAATGTAGTAGAAATAATGGGCAAGTTCCAAGCCTTGGCTAGAAGAGCCTTTGCAGTTCTCTCTCTTGCTGTGATTAGAATCCTAAAATCACCATCTAATAATACCAAGCCAGACGACCCGAGACCTTGTGAAGAGCAGCAGAAAGCTAGCCCCCAGCCACCTGCCTACCAACCCCCAGCTACGTGAGTGAAGCCACCCCATATCACCAGCTACCAGCCAACCCTCCATTTGACTGCAGATGCACAGGAGGGCCCAGCAAAGATCAGCAGAACTATACAGTTGAACCCAGCTTAAACTGCTGACTTAAGAATCGTTGAGTTAATAAATGCCGTTTTAAATTGCACATATTTGAAGCCTTTCTTCACTTCCCATTTTTCATTTTGTAAAATATGTGTTTATTCATTTCAGAAAGAAGGAGAGAGATAGAAACATCAATGATGAGAGAGTCATTGATCAGCTCCCTCCTGCATGCATGCTCCCTAATGGGGATTGAGCCCACAACTAGGGCATCTGCCCTGACCGGAATCAAACCTTGATCTCTTGGTTCATGGGTCGACACTCAACCACTGAGCCACACAGGCCAGACATTTCCCATTTTTCTTGCATTGAAAGATGCTTTGTGTAAAAACTCACCTATATTGTACAGAAATGATTCTAATTGCTCTTCAAGAATTACTACCACTTTGTGTTAATTTCCCAAGCTTCCAAATAACTGGAAAATCAACTCATGTTACAGTTACGATCTCGTTTCTAGAATGCTTTTAGGAATTTTGGTTTCATTCATGTAATAATCATTTGTTACATAACCTAAACACAAAACACTGTCAGAATGTTTAAGTTTACTTTTCCCTCAATAGAAGTTTTATCATTTCACATTAATTATAATTGGAGTTAATGGTTACATAGAACAGTTATTAATTCAAAAGAAATTTGGAACCAATTGTGCTCATGCTTGCTTCCTCTGTATCAAAGGGAACAGGTGGACCCCACACCTGAGTGGAAGGAGACTATCTCCCAGGGCCCCTTGGAAAATGGGACTAACGGAGCCCTTGCCTAACAACATGGTCAAAAAGTGAAGGTGAGAGGACACGCAGAGAAAATAAGAGTGGACAGCATTCCTCTAGCCCAGTGGTTCTCAACCTTCTGGCCCTTTAAATACGGTTCCTCATGTTGTGACCCAACCATAAAATTATTTTCGTTGCTACTTCATAACTGTAATGTTGCTACTGTTATGAATCGTCATGTAAATATCTGATATGCAGGATGGTCTTAGGAGACCCCTGTGAAAGGGTCGTTCGACCGCCAAAGGGGTCGTGACCCACAGGTTGAGAACCGCTGCCTAGCACTTTAGATTGGGAGGATTCAGGCCCAAATTCTGGGAAGCTGTGGCCTGCTGCTGGAGGTGGGATAATGCCCACCCAGGTTACACGACTTCCCTTGGTTTCCGCCCATCTCACCCAGCAACGTCCGAGAGGCTTCTCCAAAGCAAAGAAGGGGTCCTGGGGTGGATATGGAGCATTCCAGGCACTAGGAAGGGAAACTAAACAGGTGATGCCCTGGATATTGACCAGCTAGCATGTCTGTTGAGGAGAAGACATCTCTGGGTGCGCAGAGCACGGTCATCGAGCCCCGAGATGAGGAGGCCAGACCTTGGATTGCTGTGACTCCCTAAAGTGCTGCCTGTGAGAAGCCGCCAAGCACCCCAGGTCTGCTACCCTGAGCACATCCCTCAGCTAAGTGTATGTATTATCTGTGCGCCTTGAACAATTCTCTCAAATTCCCTAGATCTCGGTTTCATCTCCCATAATTATTTATTTAACGTAGATAAGAACGGGTTCCCCAGCTTCCTCACAGCGTAGGCATCTAGCTGTTTCCCTCTCCACCTCAGGTCTCTGCATCCTTCTGAACACTTGCTACAACCCTAGTTTCAGCTCCCCGACCTCCTCTCCTCAAACAATCTCCTCCTCCATGCCAGCAGTCACAGCCAAGACCTGTTAACTGCTCCACAACGGAAATGTTACACTCCAGCATCCTGCTTTCTGATCACAATCTCTCCTACCCATCCAGGGCGCTTCGTCCTCCGGCTACACCTGCTCTCGGCTCTCAGAGAGAATGCCACCTCGCCCTCCCTCCAGCCCAACACCAGGAGGCTCGCCCTGTTCCGTCTCTATCCAGCCCAGGCTCAGCCTCTTTCTGGGCGGACCCTCAAGCCCCTTGCCCTCCACACCCACTTCCATCTTTCTGGCATATCTTCCCTGCTAACCCACTTACTTGGATCAACTACCCTTCAGGTGGGCACTCAGATCCCTGGGTGGCCAAATGCTGCCGGGTGAGAGAACTCATAAAGGCTGCAAGGAGTCTCCACTCTCACAGTAGCCGGGTCTCCAACATCACGAGGTGTCTAGGGATGTGCCTGGTAAGAAAGAGACCCCCCCCCCATCCCTCAAGGCACCCTCTCCCCACCCTCGCTCTGGGGGTTCCATTGGCTCCCTTTCCTCTGCCCCAAAGAAGGCCTCTATTCCACAAAGAAAACTGTCACCATACAAGTCCTCAAGTCCCTACCTAGAAACATCTATCTGTATACATATCCCCACCCCTCCTTTCTTCCTCTCAAAAGATCCCCCCCAATCCCAGGCCCCCTGTCTCCTCTCCCTCCAAATCTCCTTCTCCATTTGTTCCTTTGCTCAACTCAAAACATGGCTTTTTGTTTCCTACTTAAAAAAAAGAAAAAGAAAAAGGTGTTTCCTCTCGAAAACCAGACTTCTCTTTAAGGGTGCCTACCTTATTACAATCCAGACTCTGCTCCTCCTCCTCCTGAAACCCCTTCAGCATGCCATAAGCCTCTCTTCCCCTTGTTTTATACGCTTCACATCACTTACTGTCTGACATTATTTTATGGTTAATGTGTTTCCTGTTTATCTTCGCCCCTAGAATCGCCGTGAGCTCAGGACCTAGGATAGTGCCGGATGCGGGGACCGGCCTGCGAGGTCTGCAGAGGACGCTGCCTATACTCGCTGCCACACACGGTCACACAACAGCTGCCTTTACCCCGCGGACTGAACCCACAGTGGACGCGGGACTCGCCCCGGGCTTCCTCCCGGCTCTCCTCTCGGCCTCCCCTTCTGCAGGAGCCGGCTCCATGCCGGCCTCTCACCAACACGCCTTTCCCGCCCTGTATCTCCCAATGGCATCCTTCAGCCTCGGCCTCTGCGCTTCGGCCCATGGAGCTAAAGGCCTTCGGGACGCCGCCGCGAAGCCCACGGACCCAAAACTGACCTCGCCGCCCCCTCTGTCCCTCCCGCGCTCCCTCCCGGTGCGGCAGCAAAACGGCCGGGGCCATCCCCCGGTCACGACGCCGGAACCCTGGGCAGCCCTTCCCCTCAGATCAATCACCAGGCGTTCATTCATTTCGGCGCCCCCCGCATTTTTCGGGCTTTAATCCTTCGCGGACCGAAAGGGAAAAACGCGGGAGGGGGCCTCGGGCCCCGGGCCCCGCGCCCCCCCCCGCGGGGGACCCGAAAAGCCCGTTTTCCCCGGGGAACCGGGCGGGGCCTTCCCTCGGCCTCTCCCTCGGGGCCCCAGGTCCCTTGGCCCCCCACCCCCGGGGGTGTTTGTTCACCGTTTTTG